CTGTGAGTAAAGATTAAATTAATTGGAACCTAATTTAAATCACGGTGCTAATAGCATCTGCCTTTGTGGCCCTAAAAGTTAATAGATTGTCCTTATTCCGTCCATATGTTCCCTTTCCCTTTCTCTCTGTATTGTCTGCCTGCTTCTTTGCCAGCATGGACAGTTGTGGCACTCCACATGGTTTTGAGCTGCATCTCCCTTAAACCTCCGTTATTGGCTATAGTGGCTAGGTCTGATGGGGGTTGTAGGCCTGAAACATCTGGACTCTCTCCAATGAATGTGTGAATGCACTTGAGGCAAAACATGTCTGCATTTTAATGACAGACAAAATAAGACTGTGGAATGTAGCCAGCTTCTAATAAGTAAAACTCACACACTGTTTATTAGAAGAGACTTTTTAAAACAGCTGGATAATTTTAGGACCTCTGTTGATCTTCTGCCTTTCTGCCCTGCACTCTAGGTCTCAGCAGAAGAAATTTCTCTCTTGTGGTCAGAACTGGTGAGTTCTGCTTTGGCCTTGTTCTGGACCAGTACTGTCACTATGGATCCCGAGCGCTGGTTGTCCTGGCACCCTCTATCTAAGGAAGAGAAGAAGATGCCAAAACCTCTCATGGACAACTCTGTTCAGGTTTGTGTGGGGAAAGGTATATTTTTAAGGCTGGTCTAGACTCTCTGATCACAATGGGAAATTTGATAACATGGTAACTGCTTTCATGAACTAGTAGAACCTGTGGCAAAACATTACAGCCTGCAGTTCTCCCATGGAGGGTAATAGCTTGTTGTGCTTCGTTTCTAGATACTGTATTGCATTTCTACCCTCTCAACTTACATTGAGAGGGTAGAAATGCAATACAGTGTGCCATATGCTGAAGTTCCCTCTTCAAGCTTTTTTTCACTCTGAAAGTATGTGCTTCATCAAGCCTGCTAATATTTTTCTCTTGTGGATGATGCCATTAGGGCAATATAAAGATCCTCCTTGAAGAATAGGTTTGATAATTGCAAGCAGGATTTAAAGGGTCCCACTGTGTATCCATGGAATGGTGTTTTCACTGCTTGAGGTGAATCCAAGGAAGCTTCTGCGTTTTTACAGCTTATGTAGATTTAAAATACAGACAGAAGCCAGGTTTCTCTGCAGTCTTTCAGGGCTATTGATTAAAATGCCATTGAACTATCTATTACTGAGTTGTTGTTCTAATACAGCAGGGGTCCCCAACCCCCGGTCCGTGGTCTTTGCAAGACCAGGCCATGGAGACAGATCTCCCACCCCCCACGCCTGCGCACATGTATGCACGGCCCGCCCACCTGCACAGGTGCTCTGCTCATCTGCGCGCAAGCGCCCCCCACTCACCTATGAGCTCACCCACACATGCGTGCAAGCACACGGACCCCACTGCCCTCCAATCGATTCATGGTTCAGAAAAGGTTGGGGACCACTGCGGTAGAGCACTGGTACTTCATATACTTCTTTTTCCGTTTTCCCAATACCACGCTGCAGTCAAAATGTACAACTGAAGAATCTAGCATCTAGTGCTAAATTTAGCCTCTGGAAAAATGCTGTCTTGCTGTGCTGTTCCAAAAATGCTTCTGCTTGTTCCAGCCAATTTTTTTTTTTAAAATGTGCCTATTTTAAAAAAAGTTTTCTCATTCAGTGTTGCAGATTCCAGTTGGACTCTTCCTTCCTTGTGTTTGATATTGGAATAGGTTGTATAGTGTTAGAAACGTACCTCTCTCTAAAGTTTCTCCCTGTTGTAGTTGTCAAAGAAAAATATTGATTCTGTTTCTGGAGGGGGGCTGTGTTGGTGTGTTGCAGCTGAAACACTGAGTCTTCTGGCACCTTCAGGACTAGTGAGTTTTATTCACTGCAAGCTTTTGTGGACTGTAGCTCCCTTCTCTATACAGTCCAGGAAAGCTTATGCCAAATAGAATCTTCTTAGCCTTTTAAGGTTCCATAAGACTCTTGGTTAGTTGCTTGCTTGTATGGGGAGTAGTACAGGAGTTCAGTAACACAATGGAGATGAGAAGTGTTCTCTTCTGCCTCACATGCAGCCCATCAGAATATCAGTGGATGGAGACCCTTCTTCTCCCACCCCAACAAATTTTTCAGTCACAATGCTTTCACAGTCGCCCGTTGCCTTTGATTTGAAGTGCAGCAGAGACAGTTGTGAGGCCATGCAGCTTACCTGTATAAGTGAGGTTCCTGTGTCCTTGCTCCTGCTAATAGCGATCACCAGAATGTGTACTCATGATGGGGCAGGTTTCAGTCTCACTTCAGCAGTGTGACTGAATGCATCTCTGTCCATTTCCCCTGCATAGAAGTCAATAGCTGTATTTCCAATTCATAGGCGAAATGAAGGATAGCAGCATGTAATTCAAACCCATTATAGAGCCCAAGGAAGGCAAATAGTGTCAGTAATATGGCATGAAAAGCCAGGGATTGCCCTTGTATGTATAACTAATAAGGAAATTTTGGCTATTTTCTCTTTCAACGGTTTGAAGTTGGACTGCTTTAGTTGCTGACATAGGCATTAGTTTAATGACGATGCATTACAGTGGTGCCTCGCAAGACGAGTGCCTCGTGGGACAAAAAACCCACAAGACAATTGGTTTTTGCGATCGCTGTGGTGCCTCGCAAGATGGCTTCTTCTATGGCCATGCTTCATAAGACGGGTTCCCCTACCCCCCCCCGAGACCAATGCCTCGCAAGACGAATAAATTTCACCTCGCAAGACGATTTTTTTGCAAGACAGCAATTCTCGCGGAACGAATTACATTCGTCTTGCGAGGCACCACTGTATTTAATTAATTGGACTACCTAGACTTCAGGTGATTCTGCATGTTTCACTTAACATATTCTGTGAAATATCCCAGCATCTTAGGGTCAGCAGCTTGCCATTTTTAATATCCAGTGTGGAAATGCTTACCAATGAATGGTTTTAAATGTACATTTTAATCTTTATTAATTTAGGGTGTGGGTATTTTGAGTCGAGCAGTTTTCTCCAAGTGCCTCTCTGAAATTCTAACTAGCAGCAGCAAGTGGTACCAGTGGGATGTGAGGGGCCTTCCTGTTCTTTCCGCCTCCAG